CCCCTAGTTCTACTATTTTCACCATTAAGTATGAAAAAAGATGATGCATCAACACTATCAATTCCCTTTCCAATCTGAAATACCTCGAGCAGAACCCCTCTAACTCTGCTTTTAAAAGAGAAAATTTCAGAGATCTTAACCTGTCCTCGTATGACAACCTTGCAATCCTAGATATCATCCTAGTAGCCCTCCTCTAAATTATTTCGAACAATTGAATGTTCTTTTTAAGCTTAGGGGAACAAAATGATACACAATACTCCACATGTGGCTTAACCAAGGACCTATACAATGAGAATTGTATTCAATATTTCTGTAGATAGAACCTCATATCCAATTTTTCCTACCACTAGCAACAACACCTGCTTAGATGGCTTAAGAAACCAATCAAACAGAACATCATCTGCAATTTATTCACCCAACTCATCAAATGATCTAAATCCTTTAATAACAACACTCTTGCTTTCTTTCATCCAGCCACTTTTCTATCCATTCAGCCAACTAAGCCTACACACTTATAGAAATCATTTTTTTAAACAAGTCTTTATGTGGCACCTTGTCAAATGCTTTCTGAAAATCCAGATACACCAATTCTACACCCTTACCCTCCATCTACATAAGCAGAAACCTATTTAAAGAATGTCAAAAGTTTATTAAGGCAAGAATTTCTCCAAGTGAAACCATGCTTACTATTCAACAAAATTTTAAACTTTGTTAAATGACTTTGCAAAGTATCTTTTATCACACTTTCAAAAACTTTTCCCACCACAAACATAGGACTAATACACCCATTTTTATTACTTCCCTTAAAATAGAGGAAATATTAGTAAACTTCTAATCCTGTGGCACTATTCAAGGACTTGCAGAAAATACTAGAAAGTGGCTCACATATCCAATAAGCCTTAACTTTCTTCAAAATAGTTGGGGAAATATCATCTGGCACAGGTACCTTATTCTTTAAATTTCCCAATTTTTTCTTAAGTTCAGAATGTGATCTTGTAGATGTGCTCCCTACCTACTCCAGTAGTTAAATACTGGTTCCTTACAATAAACTTAGTAGCTGGCCAGCATATAAAGATCCACAGCATAATATTATTTCTAAGTGTAAAAATAGCTTTTTTTTTCATTCTGTTGTATTCCCTTCTTTTTCTTTACTGTCCCTGTCCATTTTTTTTTCTATATTTAACTTATCCTAGACAATTCTGTTTTATGCAGATACTTGGCACTCAGTGTTGGAAATCATTGTACCCAAGTGCTATGTTTGCAAATTCATCACTATTTTCTAAATATTTCACATGAAATTCAAACTTAAAAAAGAATGTTAAATAACTTTGAAAATACTGTTCACATTTTTAAGTTATTGCAGGGATATAAACAATGAAATAAAATTACCTTCACTCAAGGTAAAGCTATCAAGAAGATTACATTCCCTCATGTAAAGTTTCATTTCCTCATGAATTGTTTTTTTATTTAATCCATGCAATATGTTCACTTTCATTGTTCATAACTAAAGGAATACAGATGGATCATGCATTCCAAATTGGGAATGCTAACTAAAAAGATACAATTCCTCAAGCAAAGTTAACTCTTTCAGCACAGGCTCAGTCCCTGGGACCAACCTCGTAACCATTATGTGCTTGTTATAGTTTTCATGCTATAACTTTTAAGTTAGTAAGCATATGTTAATGAAATTTAACAGATTATCAATAAACATTACAATGCTTTCATACACAAAATATCAAATTTTTTTTTAAGTCTTAAGGTTTTTAAAGCAATGTTTTTCTCATGCTTTTTTTTTTCCACATGTTGCCTATCCAACATGCAAAGTAATTTTCATTTTAAGATAAAAAATACTTTTGTGCATCAGAAAATTTTCAAATTTCATTTGCGAAATCTTTATAATGTCCAGATAGTTATAAAATGTTTCTTAAGAAAAAAACTATATTATATCTGTTATTTTCACTAATGAATCTCTGTACGAGTTTGGTCAATTTGACCGATCTCGTAACCACATTAAAAAAATTAGGAAATAAATATAAACTATGCCTTTTTCCTTCTAGAAGGACTAGAAATTATAACACGAAGACATAAATGTTTAGACTAAATGCATAAAATCTCATAACATTATACATTTATATATATTTATTATTTTTATTATATTGACCTTTCTGCCACGGCGTAACAATACACAAGTACTACGAATAGACGTGGCGACACCAACTAGCGACTCCATAGTTACCGTACTAATTTACTATAAATTAGTTAAAAC